GAATATTTTTCAAGGGCCAACTGAGGCGTGGATTTATTAAAGAATATTTTTCAAGGGCCAACTGAGGCGTGGATTTATTAAAGAATATTTTTCAAGGGCCAACTGAGGCTGGATTTATTAAAGAATATTTTTCAAGGGCCAAGGCGTGGATTTATTAAAGAATATTTTTCAAGGGCCAACTGAGGCGTGGATTTATTAAAGAATATTTTTCAAGGGCCAACTGAGGCGTGGATTTATTAAAGAATATTTTTCAAGGGCCAACTGAGGCGTGGATTTATTAAAGAATATTTTTCAAGGGCCAACTGAGGCGTGGATTTATTAAAGAATATTTTTCAAGGGCCAACTGAGGCGTGGATTTATTAAAGAATATTTTTCAAGGGCCAACTGAGGCGTGGATTTATTAAAGAATATTTTTCAGCGACCTCTAGAAGGCGTGGATTTATTAAAGAATGTTTTTCAGCGACCTCTACAAGGCGTGGATTTATTAAAGAATATTTTTTAGCGACCTCTACAAGGCGTGGATTTATTAAAGAATATTTTTCAGCGACCTCTACAAGGCGTGGATTTATTAAAGAATATTTTTCAGCGACCTCTACAAGGCGTGGATTTATTAAAGAATATTTTTCAGCGACCTCTACAAGGCGTGGATTTATTAAAGAATATTTTTCAGCGACCTCTACAAGGCGTGGATTTATTAAAGAATACTTTTCAATTTAGATAATTTAATTTTTTTTTTGGATGTCACCTTTAACACTGTGACGTAATTAAGACACGTTTTGGTTTGAATCATCCAAGAAAAAAAATATTGGATAAAATTCTAATGAAACGTCGTCAATGATTGTCGATTATGCAAATCTAATTATTCAAGTTTGGAATTTTGGAGAATTTTATTTCGGGGTGATTCATAGATTTAGAATTTTTTGGAAATGTTGGAATATTAAAAAATTAAAAAATAAATACTTTTCGAATAAATTGACAAAATTCATCAGATTCTGAAGCCAATATTACAGCAAATTTTTTTAGATGGTTTTTTGTAGATTCTTACTGCCTCCCTCCCACCGCGCTAATTTTTCATAATAATTTTATTTTATTAATATTTTAATATATATTTCTAAGTTTTTTTTTTATATTTTGTCCCCTCCCCCACTATTATATTTCTAAAGATCTGGCATCTCTTTTTTACCATTAAGTTTAAAACCCCACAAACTCTCTTAAGCCAACCTTGTTTGTCACTGTCTCATAGACTAATCCATAGTACGAATAGCTAACAACTCAGCTTAAAGCTTTCATTGAGCAAAGCTTTAGCTTCGATGCGATCTTCTCAAAACCTCACCAAAAAAATTCGAAAAACTAGTTTTCATAAATACATTTTTTGTTATTAACATTCAAATGGATTTTGTTTATTGATTAAAAAAAACTCAAATAAATTTGTTTATACATTTTGAGAAAAAAAATTTAATTATCATCGAGAATACATGTGCGTCGATTAGAGGTTTTTGATTTATGTTAATTACACAGGGGAGGAAATGCATTACAAATAAACAAAGAAGTATAATTGTGGAAAAATATTTAAAAAGCCAAGCCTTATGTAGGTCTTAAAAAATACACGCCTTATATGGTGGACCATTTACAAAAAATTATTTTATTAAGGAACTATATCTAAATCTGAACCGATTTTCACAAAACTTATTACCCATCATTCTACACTTAATTCAGTATGCTGTGCAAAATTCCATTCAAATCGAAAGATAAATGGGGACTTTGGTGCACCATTTGTCTTATATCGGACGAAAATATATATGGGAGCTATATTTAAATTTGAACCGATTTTCATGAAACTTAACACAAATCATTATAGACGTAGTTCAGTACCCCAAGCAAAATTTCGTGAAAATCGAAAGATATATAGGGACCTTGGTATACCATTTACTTTAAATCGGACGAAAATATATATGGGAGCTATATCTAAATCTGAACCGATTTTCACGAAACTTAACACACATAATTCTAGACGTAGTTCAGTACCCCAAGCAAAATTTCGTGAAAATCGAAAGATATATAGGGACCTTGGTATACCATTTACTTAAAATCGGACGAATATATATATGGGAGCTATATCTAAATCTGAACCGATTTTCACGAAACTTAACACACATCATTCTAGACGTAATTCATTACGCTGTGCCAAATTTCGTGCATATCGAAAGATTTTTAGGGACTTTGGTGGACCATTTACATTAAATCGGACGAAAATATATATGGGAGCTATATCTAAATCTGAACCGATTTTCATGAAACTTGACAAAAATAATTCTAGACTTAATTCAGTACCCCATGCAAAATTTCGTGCAAATCGAAAGATATATAGGGACCTTGGTATACCATTTACTTAAAATCGGACGAAAATATATATGGCAGCAATATGTAAATCTGAATCGATTTTCATGAAACTTAGCACACATCATTCTAGACGTAATTCAGTACCCTATGCAAAATTTCGTACAAATCGAATGATATATAGGGACCTTGGTATACCATTTACTTAAAATCGGACGAAAATATTATGGGAGGTATATCTAAATCTGAACCGATTTTCACGAAACTTAACACACATCATTCTAGACGTAATTCAGTACCCAATGCAAAATTTCGTGCAAATCGAAAATATATAGGGACTTTGGTGGACCATTTACATTAAATCGGACGAAAATATATATGGGAGCTATATGTAAATCTGAACCGATTTTCATGAAACTTAACACACATCAGTCTAGACTTAATTTAGTACCCCATACAAAATTTCGTGCAAATCGAAAGATATATAGGGACCTTGATATACCATTTACTTAAAATCGGACAAAAAATATATATGGTAGCTATATCTAAATCTTAACCGATTTTCACGAAACTTAACACACATCATTCTAGACGCAATTCAGTACCCCATGCACAATTTAATGAAAATCGAAAGATATATAGGGACCTTGGTACACCATTTACTTAAAATCGGACGAAAATATATATGGGAGCAATATCTAAATCTGAACCGATTTTCACGAAACTTAGCACACATCATTCTAGACGTAATTCATTACGCTGTGCCAAATTTCGTGCATATCGAAATATATTTAGGGACTTTGGTGGACCATTTACATTAAATCGGACGAAAATATATACGGGAGCTATATCTAAATCTGAACCGATTTTCATGAAACTTGTCACAAATCATTCTAGACTTAATTCAGTACCCCATGCAAAATTTCGTGCAAATCGAAAGATATATAGGGACCTTGGTATACCATTTATTTAAAATCGGACGAAAATATATATGGGAGCAATATCAAAATCTGAACCGATTTTCACGAAACTTAACACACATCATTCTGGACCCAATTCAGTACCCTATGCCAAATTTCGTGCAAATCGAAAGATATATAGGGACCTTGGTATATCATTTACTTAAAATCGGACGAAAATATATGGGAGCAATATCTAAATCTGAACCGATTTTCACGAAACTTAACACACATCAGTCTGGACCCAATTCAGTACCATATGCCAAATTTCGTGCAAATCGAAAGATATATAGGGTCTTGGGTGCACCATTTACATAAAATCGGACGAAAATATATATGGGAGCTATATCTAAATCTGAACCGATTTTTACCAAACTTAGCACACTTCATTATAGACGTAATTCAGTACCCCATGCAAAATTTCGTGCAAATCGAAAGATATATAGGGACATTGGAATACCATTTACTTAAAATCGGACGAAAATATATATGGGAGCTATATCTAAATCAGAACCGATTTTCTCGAAACTTGGCACACATTAATCTGCACCTAATTCAGTACTCTGTACCAAATTTCGTGCCAATCGAAAGATATATAGGGACCGTTTACATTCAATCGGACGAAAACATATATTGGAGCTATATCTAAATCTGGACCGATTTTTCCCAATTTCAATAGGGTTCGTTCTTGGGACAAATGAATGAGCTGTGCCAAATTTCATCCAATTCGAATAATAAATGCGACCTGCACTTTGTTTACAATTTAACATGGACAGACAAACGGACGGACAGGCATAAATCGACTTAGAAAGTGATTCTATGCATATTCTCAAAAGGAACCATGTGTCTATATCGTTTCCTATTGCCTGTTACAAACATATGCACAAAGACATAATACCCTGTACCATAGAGTGGTGAAGGGTATAAAAATCCCCTCCTAACGAACTTTTGTAACACCGACCCTATTGTTATTGTTTTAATGCTCGCCATCGCTAAAGGTGAATGTCTCGGCTAATGCCCGCCGAGGCTTATCTTCAGCAATTATCTCTCTCTGCGAAAGAAAAATGTTTGCGGACAAATAATGTCTAGTCATTAAACGAGAACGTTGACGTCGAAGCGCCAAACATATTGTTCGGTAACTTCTGCTTAGGCATTCATCAAACCGTTGAGCCGACCAGCCATTCAAACAGCACTGTATCTGCCGGTCAGCCAGCCAGCCTATTCAACCATCCATATATATTATTTAATTTCTAATTAGAGGGGAATACTCCGATTCAATTGAATGCCATACGGTGTTTATATAAAAGGTTATCATCCGGCATCATTCATCTTCTCGGCAGCATCGTCAACATCATCATCGTCAAACCAACAAACAAAAACAACATGGGGCATTCCAGTACTTCTCCCGCTGCTGCTTGGGTAAGGTTGGCATTGCTATTTTCCTATTTATTTTTTTGGGAGAATGAGCAGCACCAATGTGGCTTTGTAGCCGGACGATACCCGACGAACCAATACCAACAGCAGCAGCAGCACCACCACCACCTGCCTTGATCCATAGATTAGAAATTGTGTTTTTTGCAAGCTGTCTATAGTTGGAAATTGACTTTCTTGGCGATCGAATAAATCATTTGTTTTTGTTACGGGAAGCCCCAAGGGTTCAAAATACACATACGGCGGAACCAGAAAAGCTCCAAGCAGAACGGCCTTAGAATGTTCAAAATACTCAAATTGTTCGGTTTATTATTAATTTGTTTATCCATATTGGAGATTTGTGAGGCTGGTAGGTGTAATAAACAACAACAAGAAAGTGTTCATGTGTGTGTGTGTGTGAAAGTGTTCGCATGTGTGTGGGGAGTCCCTACAATAAAATAAATTTGAAATAAAAAATGACTCCATAAACGAACATGTCATTGCTTGTAAAAAAATCAATAATTTTAAATTGTTTATTATTTGTGATGTTGTTGTCATTTTATTTACAACAAGTGAATGTGTTAATTTATTGTTGTTGTTTGTTTTTTATAAAGTGCTTTGTTGTCATTTCATTTCCTCTTGCTCTTTCTCCTCTTCCCCCACACAGACTGTGAAGTCTTTGGTCTGCTGCTGAAAAAGGGCGAAGCAAAAACTGTACCTGGCAAATGTAGTCAGGTCGTGTGCCAGGGCAATCGTTATGATGAATACGAGATTGAGGGGTAAGTGATGTGCTGGAGGGGTGGAAATTTATAGAGATTTTCAAATCAATTGTAATATTTTTTAATTATTTTATTTGTGTAGCTGCCCAAATGCCTATGCCCCCAAAGATTGTGAATTTGTACCCGTTGACCTGACAAAGCCATATCCAAGATGTTGTCCCCATTGGAAGTGTCCGGATCGAAAATAAAATTTTTGTTGTTCTTGTTGTTATATACATACTTTTTTTTAAATAATAATAAACTCAAAAATGTGATATAGATAAAAAGAAAATTTAATTTTGAAATCAGAAAAAAAACTTCCTGCAAAAAAAAAAAAATGGGACTTGAAAAGTGAAGTGAAAGGTGTACTTTGTATACGACCTAGAATGCTTGGAGATGAAGATCCTTCCAGACTTTAGACAAGGGTTGAATGCCTATGTAGCTCTTATGTGGGTTATGGAGCCCTAAAGGCTCCGAAAAGGCAGCTGAAAGATCAACGAATGTTTATAGACGATGTGAGGGTCACCGAGACTTTAAAATGACAATGTGGGTTATATAGACCAAATGATATTCAATGATGCCTGTAGACAAGCAGATGTCTTTATAGGCGATATGATGACGACTTCAAGGTTCTTAGAGTCTTTAAAGGAAGCAGGAGCAGCATATACATAGACTATGTTTAACAAGTGAAAAAGCCTTAAGTTCGGCCGGGCCGAACTTTGGATACCCTCCACCATAGATATAATGACAGGTACTTGAAATAAGAATATAGGGAACATACCAAAAAGTGTACCTATACAGACATTTCTACAAACGGTTTCTACGGTCATGGTGCTAAATATTGGTCCTAGACCCCATGGTTCTTTGGACCAAATTTGTTTCCAAAAAATTTTGAGTTCATCCACACTTTGCCCATCTTATTATTTCTAACGAAATTAGTGCAGCGAATTCGATTGAAAACCCCGATCAAGAATCCCAAAATACCGAAATTTGGGAGGTACCCTTATATGGGGGCTATCCGAAAAAAGTGGACCTATACTAAAAATTTTTTGTGGAGAGGTTTAGTACCTACTAAGAACTCAAAATACTAAATTACAGCCAATTTGGTGTAAAAATACGATCAAGACCCCCAAAATACAGAAAATTAGTAGGTACCATTATACGGGGGGCTACCAGAAAAAGTGGACCTATATTTATAATTTTTTGTGGAGACATTTAGTACTCAATAAGAACTCAATGTACCAAATTTCAGCGTATTCGGTCGAAAAACGCGCTCAAGAACCCCAAAATACCGAAAATTGGGTATACCCTTATGTGGGGGCTATCCGAAAAAATGGACCTATACTAATAATTTTTTGTGGAACGATTTGAAACCTATCACGAACTCAAAATACTAAATTACAGCCAATTTGGTGTAAAAATACGATCAAGACTCCCAAAATACAGAAAATTAGTAGGTACCATTATACGGGGGGCTACCAGAAAAAGTGGACCTATATTTATAAATTTTTGTGGAGACATTTAGTACTCGATAAGAACTCAATGTACCAAATTTCAGCGTATTCGGTCGAAAACCACGCTCAAGAACCCCAAAATACCGAAATTTGGGGGTACCCTGATATGGGGGCTATCCGAAAAAAATGACCTATACTTATAATTTTTTTGTGGAGCGATTTGAAACCTATTACGAACTCAAAATGCTAAATTACAGCCAATTTGGTGTAAAAATACGATCAAGACCCCCAAAATACAGAAAATTAGTAGGTACCATTATACGGGGGGCTACCAGAAATAGTGGACCAATATTTATAATTTTTTATGGAGACATTTAGTACCCAATAATAACTCAATGTGCCAAATTTCAGGGTATTCGGTGGAAAAACACGCTCAAGAACCCCAAAATACCGAAAATTTGAGGGGTACTGTTATATGGGAGCTATGCCTAAACGAGGACCGATATATCCCATCTTTGAACTTGACCTGCCTGCAGACAAAAGACAAACCTATGCAAAATTTTCAGCACCCTATCTCAATTCCTTCAGAAGATAGCGTGATTACAACAGTCGGACGGACGGACATGGCAAGATCGTCTTAGAATTTTACCCTGATCAATAATATATATACTTTATAGGATCGGAAATGAATATTTCGATGAGTTACAAACGGAATGACAAAATTAATATACCCTCCATACTATGGTGGAGGGTATAAAAAACGTTTGCAAGAGAATCTCTATAAACGGGAATCATTATAGATGAGCGGAAGGAAGTCTCTTAATAGATGAGCTGAAGTGAGTGTTTATAGACGATCTGTAGGGTTTCCCTTTAGAGAGCTATGGCGGTCTTTTTATACGAGTCGGGAAAAAGTCTTTAAATACTAACTAAAAGGTGTATCTTCAGTGAATAGATGGAGGGTGCATCTTTGGACGTGTTAAAAAAAAAGACAGAATTTCTTATGGACGAAGATAGTATTTTTACACAAGATGGTGGGAGTGTTTGTGATTGGGCTAAGGCATGTCTTTAAAGGCGATCTAAGGATCTCTTCTTACGGAGGTTAGTCGGACTTTTTATTTGAGCTGGGTCTTATAAACGACCTGGAGTAAGTCTTTATAGGCGATCATTATTTACGAGATGGATACATGTTTATACCCTTCACCACACTGTGGTACAGGTTATCATGTCTTTGTGCATATGTTTGTAACAGGCAAAAGGAAACGAGATAGACACATGGTTCCTTTTGAGAATATGCACAGAATCACGTTCTAAGTCGATTTATGCATGTCCGTCCGTCTGTCTGTCTGACCATGTATTTTTGTGAACAAAGTACAGGTCGCATTTATGATCCGATTTGGATAAAATTTGGCATAGGTCACCCTTTTGGCCCAAGGACGAACCCTATTGAAATTGGCAAAAATCGGTCCAGATTTACATATAGCTCCCATATATATTTTCGTCCGATTTAAGGTAAATGGTGCGCCAAAGTCCCTAAATATCTTTCGATCTGCACGAAATTTGGCACAGCGTAATTAATTAGGTCTAGAATAATGTGTGTTAAGTTTCCTGAAAATCGGTTCAGATTTAGATATAGCTCCCATATATATTTTCATCCGATTTAATGTAAATGGTGCGCCAAAGTCCCTAAATATCTTTCGATTTGCACGAAATTTGGCACAGCATACTGTATTATGTCTAGAATAATGTGTGTTAATTTTCGTGAAAATCGGTTCAGATTTAGATATAGCTCCCTTATATATTTTCTCCCGATTTTAGGTAAATCGTGCACCAAAGTCCCTATATATCTTTTGATTTGCACGAAATTTGGCATAGCGTAATGAATTATGTCTAGAATGATGCGTGTTAAGTTTCCTGTAAATTGGTTCAGATTTAGATATAGCTCCCATATATATTTTCGTCCGATTTAAGGTAAATGGTGCGCCAAAGTCCCTAAATATCTTTCGATCTGCACGAAATTTGGCACAGCGTAATTAATTAGGTCTACAATAATGTGTGTTAAGTTTCCTGTAAATCGGTTCAGATTTAGATATAGCTACCATATATATTTTCATCCGATTTTAGGTAATTGGTGCAGTAAAATCTCTGAAAATCATTCGATTTGCACGAAATTTGGCACAGTGTACTAAATTAAGCCTAGAAAAATGTGTGCTAAGTTTCGTGAAAATCGGTTCAGATTTAGATATAGCTCCCATATATATATTCGTCCGATTTTAGGTAAATTGTGCACCAAAGTCCCTGTATATCTTTCGATTTGCACGAAATTTGGTATATCGTACTGAATTAAGCCTAGAAATATATGTGCCAAGTTTCGTGAAAATCGGTTTAGATTTAGTTATAGCTCCCATATATATATTTTCGTCCGATTTAAGGTAAATGGTGCACCAAAGTCCCTATATATCTTTCGATTTGCACGAAATTTGGTACAGCGTACGGAATTAAGCCTATAAAGATGTGTGCCAAGTTTCGTGAAAATCGGTTTAGATTTAGATATAGCTCCCATATATATTTTCGTCCGATTTAAGGTAAATGGTTCACCAAAGTCCCTAAATATCTTACGATTTGCACGAAATTTGCCACAGATTACTGAACTAAGCCTAGAAAGGTGTGTGCTATGTTTCGTGAAAATCGGTTCAGATTTAGATATAGCTCCCATATATATTTTCGTACGATTTTATATAAATGGTGCATCAAACTCCTAATGTTTGTCCGATGAACACGAAATGTAGACAACGTATCAAATTGAGACGTGAATAACGTTTTTTGAGATTTGTTGAAATTGGAGCAGATCCACCCATAGCTTCCATATATATTTCGAACGGGTGTCTGATTGAAACTGTACCGAATAGCGTGTATCAATGTAGCTATAAATAGTTTTCCATAAATTTATCTCATGGTACGCAGGCGACCCTAAATCTGCCCAAATGTAGGTTGGAGAAAGACATGAGTATGTTCCTTCGAGGGAACAATATACCCAAAGTGGTGATGGGTATCACATAGTCGGCCCATTCCGACTCTACTACTTTCCTTACTGGTTAAAGATGTAATTATCGCTTTTTTGTCTCCTTTTCTCAAAACCTCCATGAAATGCGATACAAACAAAAACTAAAAGTCATCATTTGCCTAATAAGGAAACGAGCATCCAATTTCGAAGAAGAAGAAAATAATAAAATTCATTCTTCCTAAAAATTTGCCCAACAAGTATTTTTGGAACAAACTTCTGCCAGCAAATAGAGGTGGTGGCGGCAATGACAATGACGTCTTGAAATCAAAAACCCCAACTTCTGTTCATTCATTCATTTATTGTTTTTCCTAAATTGATTTCATCGGCCTGCCACCACACTGTTCGCTGACAAGTAATCTGACAACTATCCTTTTTTTGGCTAAAGGAAGAAAGAAAGCAACAGTCTGTGGACAATCAGTCTATCACAGGCTGCAGGAAGTTCGCATAATGCCCCTCAACACTCTCAATGTCTTATTCTTTAGTCATTGTCCCCAAGGGAGGTGAGAGGAGGGTTGAGAGTAAAAGCGTAACGTTACTTCCCAGCAACAACAAAAGCCGTGGCGTGGAAGCACCCCGAACAAAAAAGATGACAACGCATTAATTATAAATGTCACTTTTTGGCTTTGTTAGACAAAACCCAATGCCAACAACAAGAATAACAAAAACAACAACAACGACAATGACGAAAAATACTTACGATGGCT